ATAAAAACAGAGAATAGGAGCTCTTATCATCCGCTGTGTAATTTATTGTTTTAACACCATATATGATATTTTCTCACACACATACATCTGCTTATCTCTCAGCATGAGAAAACGTCTGTTATCTGTCTTTTAGTTTAAAACAGACCGATTCACGGCACGGCGTGAGTTTGCAAGCATCATTACAATGTAAACTGATGGACATAGATAGACATACAGAACCATACCTGAAACAGAAAACTAATAAATACAGTAATATTCCCTTCTTACTTCGGAAACTGTGGGCTTCCACACAGACGCACACACATCAACATATCTCCGCATGAGAAACGTTTGTTAGGCGGGGTAGGGCGTGGTCTTAAAATGAAAGATGAAAGATCTCTCTTGGCAGGTCTTCCAGCCAGTTCTATAAAATCTTTACAATTAATCCAGAACGTGGCAGCAAGATTAATTTTTAATGAGCCAAAAATAATGCACGTCACACCTCTGTTTATCAATTTGCACTGGCTACCAATAGCTGCTCGCATAAAATTCAAGGCATTGATGTTTGCCTACAAAACCACCACTGGCTCTGCACCCGTTTACCTAAATTCATTACTTCAGACTTATGTGCCCTCTAGAAGCTTGCCTCCTGCAAGTGAACGTCGCTTTGAACAACTGATGAGTTTGTGAGTATGAGATCCGTATACCCGGCCGGTACTAGACTCCAACTTTTATAGGAATCCAAATGAAAAAAAAGTACAAGAAGAAGAGTTAAATAGAATAATCATATGTCTAAATAAATTATCTTATGAATGAGAAATAACAGTAATAGGTATTCTAACCTAAATTCGAAGTCATAAAAATGGAGTCAGAAGAATTTAATTGAAATTAAATTACTTTGCGCACTTAAAAGACCGAACATGCAGGAAACCTTCAGTCACCACTGGATACCTTCATTGGGCCAATTTGGTGGACCTTACAATATAGATAGATAGTGTCTCGGTCACCAGTTCTGTCACCAACACACACACACACACACACACACACACACACACAGGGTCTAGTCTCGTCTAAGACCCACCCGATGTTCTCCTTGGATGGTTACTCACCTGAAGTCTACTTACCTGTTGTTCGTTCCCTCACTCAAGTCTCCTATCTCCGATCTCCAGCTCCATGTTTCCTTCTCCAAGTGTCGTGTGTTCACCCTGTAAGAAAAGAAAGGAAAGTGTTTATCTATTCATCAGTGACTGTAAATGTGTGTGGCACCTTACCCGTATGGTCATTCTCCTGCTGCATCTTCTATGCATACCTGTTCATCCATTCCCTAATCCATTCTGCTGTGTTTCGATAAAGCTTGTTGAACTTTACTCTCCATCTCTCTGGCCTGTGTACCCTGACAGAAGACTAAACCTCAACAGACAACACAGCAGAATGAGCTCCATTTTATCTGATCCAGCCACACTAATTCTCTCCATAACCCAATATGGCCGCCCGATCGAGGAGTTCCTCCAGCTCTCCCACCAGGTACATTGGAATGATGGGACATTTGTTATGTCCCTTTTGTTCTATTTCTGTGGCTGCGTCCGAAACCGCCTACTCAATGAGTAGGTACTTAATTTCATTACGTACTTACTTACAGAGCGCTAAAAGAGTAGGTACAGACTCTACAGCCAAATCTCGTTAAGTATGAATGCGATCCAGGCATCATCCGCCATGTTGACGTTATCATGTGATCTACGACGTTACAAGTGCAACAACTTAAAAGATATGAGCGACAGGTTTAATTAATCTCTCTGTAAATATTTTGATGTTTATGAAATTTCCTCATTTTGTGGTCTTGTTGAAGAAACAGCTGCCCTTTTATTGTGATTGTAGTATAACCAATACATTTTGGGTTGATTTAAATTTTTATAGTTTTAACCCTACTAATATGACCCACAGTTAAATCCTTAAATATATTATTTTTTATTACGAAAACCCAAAATTGTTATCTCTTGAATATGTTGTTACTTTCTTTATTTTATGTGCAAAAATTTGAAATTTTTCATCTACAAGCAAAACCGGCTTAAATCTCCTGTTTTCCTCTTTTTCTCGTTGAATTTAACTCTCATTTCATCCCTCCGGCTTATAAACAACAACAACAAATGCAATATTTTGATGCATTGATTATATGAATATTATGATTATTCAAAGCTGTTTAACCTTGTCATTGTGCCTTTTTTCTGTGTATATAATCTCATACTATGGTGTATGCAAACCCATTATATTTATGTTTTCTACTGTTTGTCATTATGATTGTTCATTGTTAAAGATACAACCATCTTTCCCTGGGCTTGTATGTAATTATAAGTTCTGCAGTA